TGAATAGTGAATTAAAATTGATGTGATGTGTAAGAATGATTGGTTTGTATTACTTAATTATATGAATAATATTAAAGATAGTGGATTGAGTTAAAGTTGAGTTAGATTTTGAGTATAAGATAAAAATGAGTAAATTAACTCATACACAAGCATGCCCTTACTTAGGTTGATTTCCTTTATTAAATTGTAATTTTAGTTTTGTATGTTTCAATTCAATCATAGAAATCTATATATATATATATATATATATATATATCTATATATATATCTATATCTATATTTATATCTATATTTATATTTATATTTATATTTATATCTATATAAAGAGGTTGTTGGAAAAATATATTTATAGTATGTTTGACTAAAAATAAATTGTTTGACTTACTATTAGAGGAAATTTTGAAAAAATGCATGTGAATCTTCAATAAAAAAAAATCGAATCTCATTTATTTGGTAACAAATTCGGTGATTCTTATGTCAAATTCTGAATTCTATTTTTTGTGTCATTTTTTATTTTATTTTTATTAAAATCCGAATCTCATTTTTTTGGTAACAAATTTGGAGATTCTTATGCAAAAAATGTGTTAATTATTTAAGAAAACAAATTTAAATATAAATTAATTTAAAAACTGTGCAAAGTGGATACAAATTTAAGAAATAAATAGTAGTATAATCCTTATAAATTCTTTCAATCTTTTTGAGTATTTTTTTTAAAAAAAAAATGTGTAAAAATTTGATAAAACCACATGCAATTTTTTATTTTAAAATAAAAATTGAGATTTGGACGAGATATATATATTCAAAATCATATCTACATTTTTTGGTAACAAAATCAGTTCATCTTTGATATCTATTACTATAAAATAGCAATAGAGATTTACTTTAAAAATCATATCCACATTTTTTGGTAACAATCAGTTCATCTTTGATATCTATTACTATAAAATAGCAATAGAAATTTACTTTAAGTAGAAAGTAAACTCCGGCCTAAAAAATTAGATTTTATTACAATTAGTAACTTTTTTTAAATTCTTTGAAAAACTGGCAGTTGATTAGTAATTTGAATTTTAAATTCTTTCAAACATTTAAAAGAAAATATCATAAGCATATCTTCTTCCATACATTCCATTTATCTTAACTTACATATAATCACATTCCTAATAAGCATTAAATTTGCTTATATATTTTGAAATTAATTAAATCAATAAATAATATTAATATACATTAAATATTTATCATTATATAAAAAAAAATATTACTTCTATAAGTGTTATAAATTATTATGATATTATACGACAATAAATTTTTGAATAATATAATATTTGAGTGTTATGATGAACCAAAATATGTAAAATTATTACATTTTTTGTATAAAAATAAATAAAAAATATATATATATATATATTGAATATTATTTATATTAATATAAAAAGGTCAGCAGGCTAACATATTGTTAAATAAAGTTATAAAAAAAATATTCTAAAGTACGAAACCTCCGTGCATCGCACGAGATTCTCACTAGTATTTTAAATTCATACGCAATCCATACTTAAAATCTGATTAAATTTTAATTCAATTTTATTATTATTATTATTATTATTATTAATATAATAAATATTATCAATTAATCATTCTTATACATTACGTCATTACCCTTAATGCCTATAAATGGTGGTATTTTAACGGGGATGCAGATGTTTTTAGAGCATTCTTAGATACAAATATATATGCTTAAAATGGATTTTTTAAGTAAAACACTAAAACTTTACATTGGTATGAACTCAACACTCTATAATTATAAATAATGCAATATATTATATTAAATTTTATATGTATTATGATAAATATACGAAACATTTAAATTGAATAAAAATAAAATGGAGTTATAGTTTTAAAACTAGTATAATACTCGTGTGCTAAACCAGTACTTATTAAAAAAATTATATTTAAATTGAATAATAATAACAACAAAAATTGTTTTAGTTTTTATATACTTTTTTGAATAAATATATTATTATTTATAATTAAAATGCCGTCACTTACACGACTTACCATCTTATATTATATTATTTTTTTAATTTAGATAACTACTTTGTAGTTAAATTAGTTTAAATAATTTTATTAATTTAAATTAATTTAGTTATGAAATTTAATTTTAATTATAAAGATAAATAAATTATTTATTTTTTATGTATAATATGGACGTCAAGTCGAAGTTCATCAAGATATGACTATAAAAAAATTTTACTAATAAAAAAACTTATCAAGTTTTAAATATATTTATAATTTAAGTTAGTAAATTTGTTATAATTTTAAAAGAAATATGAGGAAAAAAGAAAGAATGAGAATAAAATTATACCTTATAAACTACATCTACAATATGAAATGATATTAAAACATAAGTAGTGCTCTTAACAAAATCATACATTTCCAGCATATTTATGATATTCCAAACATAGTTACTTTTGGATTGAAAATAAATTAAAATTCATCCAAACCAAAAAATAAATTTCCATATAGGATTCTGAAGCATGCGAGTCTGTCACTTAGGCTTAACACATTCGGAATTATATGTAGATAAATGTTAGTAAAAATATAAGAGTATAATATTAACTGAAAACTAGCGGGAAATATGTGGCATCCATAAAATAGAGGTTTATAGGTTGTTTTGTTATTAAAAGTTTGTGATTGTATGAGTAAGAATGAGATTAGATAATGTGCATGTTTGGAAATCTATATACATATAATTGTAGGCTATCCAGTTAATATATATCATAAGAATACTCTCTTTTTTTTTCAGTTAATGGAGAAGAAAACTATTACATTTTCATTAATCGTGTGTAATAATAATTGTAAACTAATTTATTATATAATATACTTACTACTAATACTAACTACTTATAAATTTATATTAAATTATATGTGAAAAGTTACATACTTATAAAAAATTATATTGGAAACTTTTTTCTTTAAGATATTTATTTTATAATAAATATTATTTTTTAATCTTATTAACTGAAGTTTCTATAATAGTAGTTAATTGGTTTGAGTGCCATAATTAAATTCCTTAAAATCCCATAAACAGTTGTTATATCAATAATATAAATATTTATAATACTTTTATAATTGACTAATTGAATTGGTCTCTCTATATTAAAAATTGCATTATCTATTAAAATTTATGTAATCAATATAACGATTCATATACTAGTAACATAATTTATATTTATATTGTACATTTATACCTAGTCAAAAATTTAAAATGTGATAACACAATGTATATTTAAAATTTTAATTATCATAGATATCCCCTCTTAATATAATTTGAAAACGTGTTGAGCCTAAATGGCTACCTCGCACGCTTCGAAAGCTTACTTGGCAACATTATATGCTTCGACTTTTTGTTCGGATACATTCTCTAATTGTTTAAAATAAAATACTTAATAAATAGGATTTTTACTTAATCCGATCCCTTCAACTCCAAAATAAATAGGATATAAAATAAATCTATTAATATATAAAGAGGGAATGATAGTTGTTTGAAAAAATCAAGTAGAAAATCAGCAAAAAAAAAAAATTCAATTCCCGCCTAAACAATAAAATCTAAATAGAGTAACAATTTTTTAGGCTTTGAAATTTTTCAAAATTTTGAACTGTTTCATTCCGGTTTATTTGGAAAGAAAATCGGGAGTCATTAGCCAATTTGGAGATAATATCTCCATTATATTACTATAATGCATGTTTAGAAGTTTTATTTATCATCTATTAACAGATTGTCTATGGCCTCGTTTGGTTAATGACTTTTTACTAAAAAATAGCGTTTTCAATCATTTAGCTTGTTTGACCATTTTCATAGCTAAAAAAATGGTTTGGTAAACAATTTATACAGTTAGCGTTTTTGGGTCTATCCGTTGAAATGAAATACGCTGCTTTTTGGAGCGTTTCATTCAACGTTTTAAAGATAAGAAATAAAGAGCCTTGATTGCCCTTGCCCATTTCTTTTCTCTCTCATAGCTTCGTTCTTCAAATTAAAATTCTACAATAATATATAAAAAAAGGTGTTGTCATTTTATTCAAACTTATTTCTCTTATCCAAACTTATTGTCATTTTATTAAAAAAAAAGTGTTGTTGTTATATAAAAAAAGTGTCGTCATTTTATTCAATTAAAATTCTCATAGCCTTGATTGCTCTGGCCTTAATTTCTCTTATCCAAACTTATTTATTCAATTAAGAAATTTTGTCATTTTAATTATTATTTGTATTTTTATATTAACTTGAATCACTTTACAATAATATATAAAAAAATCTGAATAAATTACATTTTCCAAGTAATTACAAGGTTAACATAAAAAAAGAAAAAGAAAATTAAAGTTTATGAATGTCCTTTTATGTAATTTTGCATGTTAACAGCCAATTACAAACAACTAATTTACCAAACACCATTTTTACAAACCACTGACACAATCCGCTTGTCAAACCGTTAACATAATCTGTTGGTCAAAACAACTGTCACAATCCGCTAACAGCTAACAGCTAACCGCTTATTGCCAAACATGGCCTATATCTTTTTACTTTCTCTCTCCTTCTTTTCTTTTACCCGTTCACTCTTTCTCCCCTTTTTTCTCTTCTTTTTATATTCTTTTCTCGCAGATTTTGTTCACTCTTTTTTTGTTCTTCCATTTTTTTTCTTCCGCAGATTTTTGTCCATGTGCTTTTTATTTATTTATTTATTTTTATTTCAAGTTTCAATTTTTGGGCCAATATCCACAAATTCTTCTCAGTTTAATTTCATTTTATGTAACCTATATATATATATAGAGAGAGAGTGAGGATTTTGCAGGCACATCTGAGGGCCTTCGGCTGCCGGCAAAGTTGGGATGAAGGATCTTGGCCCGGTCGCTATGACGGCAACGTAAGGCGGCAAGGGGTGATAAAATCCGCAATTAATCGCCAGATAATCCCTTTTTTTTTGTTGGAAATCTAACTGAAAATTGCAGATGGGATAATTATATATATAACCGCAACTCGCCTCACGCCGCCGCCCCGTCCTCTCTTATTGAATGCTGAAGCAACCCAAAGAAAGAGCACGTCTCAATCTCTTAGCGGAAATTTGTGGTTGAGGAAGGTTTTCCGTAGCCGGCTTCTGGATTTTTTAAAGTCTCATACAGAGGTATAACTTTTACACTCCTTCCTTTGGTTGCTTTACTGTTGAGGGTTTTGGTTTCTATACCCATAATTGAAAATTTGATGTGGTCCGTGACATGTGGTTTTGGTTTCTATACCCACTGATCTGATGTGTTATGATGGACGGCATAAGATAATTTTAGGATTTTTTGCAATTCTGACCAGAAATTGGATTTGTTAATTTTCAGGCTCATATATAACTGACTCTGGAATTTGATCTGGATTTGGAAGGTTAAATGCCTAATGCCTATCCATATTTTTGGTTGATGGTAGAACTCCTAAATAAATAGAAGTTCATATCTCTATTTGTTTCTGTGTGCATTTCTTCTGTTACCTTAATCTGCCAATCTACAATCTAATTTTGAATGAACTTGAAGCATTAGTTTGCCATTATTTACCAAGAATGGTGTATAATGTTCATACATTTTGATTTAGTATAAATTTTTTGTTAATTTTTCTTTGCTTATGTTCTGTTGAAATTGATACAACAACAACAACAACATAGCCTTTAGTCCCAAGCAAGTCGGGGTAGGCTAGAGATGAAACCCAAGAGAAACACAAAAAGACTCGAACTGAAAGGAAGAGATCGAGAAAAAAAAAAACGAGAGAGAGAGAGAAAGGAGCAAAAGTCACGGTTCTGGCACGTTGATAGCGAGCCTCCAAGCGCTCCTATCCACCGCACTCTTTAACCATAGCAGTGAAATTGATAAGCTACTGAAATGATATATATGCACTCTTTAACCATAGCAGTGAGTCTGGGAGTGCGACAAGAAGATGGAGAGGCCAAAGAAGCAAGTGCTACTTTTCCACTGTGTGGAAGCTGAAGATTTGGCACGCAAGGTCGCAACTCATTCAGACCTCATCCAGCTACAATCGATTAACTGGAGGTACATGCCTTCTGAAACATGTAAAAAGTAGTTAGAGTAGTAAACTGAGAGTAGACTTCTTATGACAGTTCTTTGATCCGACTTTAAGGAATTAGTAATAGTGCATCAAGATGGTGTAGCAGAAAAATGTACTGAGCATAGGTGGTGGTTCCTTAAGACATGTGGCTTTGCGTGGGATATTTTGTTCAACGTTTTTTTTTTTTTGTTTGTTTGTTTTTTTTCCCTCTTGAATGAATTTGTGGGCTTTGGTTATTTAAAAGATTATTTTAAGATTGACTTGGTATCAAGAACCAGCAGCTACTTTGGCATGTTGACATTTCGTTTAACAATGCACAATTTATTATTTAACTTTACTTTTTGACTGTGTACAGGAGTTTTGATGATGGATTTCCAAATCTTTTCATAAAAAATGCACATGATATCCGAGGACAACATGTTGCATTTTTAGCATCTTTCAGGTCGACAGCCGTTATTTTCGAACAGCTTTCAGTCATCTATGCTCTCCCAATGTTGTTTTGTGTCTCATTTACTGTGGTGCTGCCTTTTTTTCCAACTGGTTCTTTTGAACGGATAGAAGAGAAAGGTGATGTTGCAACCGCATTTACCTTGGCTTGGATGCTATCCAACGCTCCTATCTCTAGAGGTGGTCCTACCAGTTTAGTTATCTATGACATACATGCTTTGCAGGTGTCTTTTCCATATCCATAATTGCCTTTTCGATTTTCAAAATGCTTTTGTTAAGTATCTTTGTGTTTATTGATATATTCTTTTTGTTTCTTGATACATTTAAAGAAATACATCCTAATATTGTTACCCTATGTGTTAAACATTACATTGAATTTCATCCATAAAATTTTCATTTTTCTATAATCATACAGATAAAACCCACACTTGGTTTTGTTAGAAAATAACAGGCCTTGCAAAAAATATCTTTAGTCTTTTCCTTACAGTAAGCTAAAAATACAATGCAAACAATGTGGGTAATGGTAAATATTTTAAATTACCTCAGGGATTGTTTTAAGCTTTTTTCCTTCTTTTTATAATTGGGAACAAGCCAGGAATTACATTCGTAGTTAACAAATATTCCTTCTCTAAGCGATGGATAGACCTAAAACATGGGGATAATATCTATCATCTGTCTGTAAGAAACTAAAGTAAGAATAGGGAACCAAATCAGAGTCTTGTGATGTGTGAATAACGGAAGTTCTAGAACATTGGCTCGAAATTTAAGTGGATCGGTTTACTAATGTTAGATAATATGTTTGTTGAATGCAAATGTTGAAGGATTCTGTCTGAATATTCACATTAGACAAGGTCAACAAGAGCGTTTAGACCTTATAAAGAATTATTTGCAAAGTTGTGGATTGAATATCTGATCCCCAATGTTTTGTCCTGCTGTTTTTCTTTTGTTTGATTTCTTGAGTCTTCATGTGCATAAATTACTTTCGAAAAATCCTTTTTACACAATCATTTTGAAAGCTTGATGGTCCTTTTTTTTATGTTTGTATGCATAGAACTTGACAAGATCATTTGGTTAATATTAGTAGATTTAAGGTTGGTATTTGAGTAGATGCTGAATGAAGTTCAGAAATGATGTAGTTCCTATATATCAATTATAAAGCTCGTGGGTCACTATGCTGTTACAATTGAAAAAAGATTTTCTTTTTTATTACTTTAACGTCTTTTGTCCTAAATTGCTATTAAAGTTTCATGTTTTTTATTCACAAATGGAAGATTTTACTTCCATGACGCCTTAAGAAATGTATTTTCCATCTGCTAATTGCTACAGGAAAGATTTTACTTCAGTGATACTGTATTGCCTGTGTTTGAGACTGGAATCCCACTTTTGAAGCAACGGCTTCAGCAACTTCCAGAGTTAGATAAGGTGATTGTGCATATCCTATGAAACATGTACCGTTGTCCTTCAAGGGGTCCTGATGTTAGTCCCAAATGAGGACATTTGATCCTTATCGAATTTGTTAGGCTAACTTCTAAATTTATATAGATCATTGTTGCATTTCCTGATGATGGAGCTTGGAAAAGATTCCACAAGCTGCTCGATCATTTTCCTATGGTTTGTATTTTTCTATATTATATATAGCATTAATTATCTTAATATGTTGCTTTTGAATTTTCATTTTGGGGAATTTTCTAGATCGCGATAATTGTTGTAGGTCATCTGCAACAAGGTTCGTGAAGGAGACAAGAGAATAGTCAGAATAAAGGAGGGTAACCCTGCGGGCTGCCATGTTGTTATCGTTGATGACTTGGTGCAATCTGGTGGCACCTTAATTGAGTGTCAGGTTTTGCTTCTTACCTTCTCCTTTTATGTATTTTATTTTTGTTGAACAATTATGACATTATAGAATATTACTAGAATATTTGGCAACATAAATTTGAAAATCACATTTTTTTATACATGTCATTGTAGTAGATGGTAGGAACAACAGTAGGTAATGCAATGCGGCTTCATTTTCTTAAGCTGGAAATTTCTTAGTGGTAGCTCTTTGTTAAGAACTTCATGTGAAAAGGATTCAAAACCAAATAATATAAATTTGTGTGTAAAGAAGATTTACAATACTTGGGCCTTTTAAAGTAGAATGATTTGTTGAATGAATTGGGCCTTTTCCACGATAGTGATGTTAGTATTTGTCAATATCTATTATTTTAATATTTTTTGATGAAAATATTATTTTTGTATTGCGATTTTACAGGGTGGCCGCATAACTGGACTAATTTGGGATGTTAACATTACGAAGATGAGTGACAAGTTCGAGGATGGTAGAAAGTAAAATTGGTAAATAACAATCTATTACTGCAAAGTGTTGGAGTATTCTACCGATTTTCCAATGTTTTATTTTGACTTCTGTAATTTTGCTACGCAGCAAAATGTTGACAATATAGATTTTCAAAAGCAAATGGTTATTTTTTTATTTTATTTTCAAATATATAGATATACCTGTGGTTGTGTTTTACTTTAGTTCTCTATGTGTTATGTTATTAACGTATATCCCATCGTTTAATATAAATATTAATACGTATCTCTTACTCGTGCATCGCACGAGATTCGTACTAGTAGGATTCTTATATAATCTATAAATTTTTCCAACTCTAAAATAAATAGGATTCTTATCTTATATGCCGTGTAAATAGGATTTTTTACTTAATATTATAATAAAAAAATTAGACGTAATTCACGAGATAACAAAATAAAAAATAAATAGGATTTTTTGGCTTAATATTATAATAAAAAATAAAAAAAATTAGACGTAATTCATGAAATAGCAAAATAAAAAATAAATAGGATTTTTTTCTTAATATTATAATAAAAAATTTAGACGTAATTCACGAAATATCAAAATAAAAAATTTAGCTTTATATATTATTTTATTTATATAATTAATGTAATCAATAATTTTTTTATGTAGTTTAAATTAAAAAAATACTATAATTTTGTAAAAATAAATTGGACACATATATAGCCACTTTTATATTATATCAAAATAAAAAGGATTTTTATCTTATATATATATGCCATGTAAATAGGATTTTTGGCTTATTTTTTTTGCTTATTTTATTTATATAATTAATGTAATCAATAACTTTTTTATATAATTTAAATAAAAAAAATACTACACATATATAGTCACTTGCATATTATATCAATAAATAGATTTTATCTTATTATCTTATATGCCGTGTAAATATGATTTTTTGCTAAATATTATAATAAAAAACTTGCATATTTTATCAAAATAAATAGACTATTATCTTATATGCTGTGTAAATATGATTTTTTGCTTAATATTATAATAAAAAATTTAGACGTAATTCACGAAATACCAAAATAAAAAATTTAATTTTATATATTATTTTATTTATGTAATTAATGTAAACAATATTTTTTATATAGTTTAAATTTTAAAAAAAACTATAATTTTACAAAAATAAATTGGACACATATATAGCCACTTGCATATTATATCTTCTCAATCCAACCATGATAAATAAATTATTTAAATCTTTTTAGAATATTACATGATCTTTATCATATATTTTAAGGAGTTTAAATAAAAATAAAATAAATTTTGATAAACACCATGTAAATAAATTATTTAATTTTTTTTTAGAATACCTATAAAAATATATTGAAATAGTTATAGAATATTACATGATCTTTCTAATATATTTTAAAGAGTTGAAATAGTTATACAACAACATGCATTTTTTTTATTAGTTTATACTTTATTTTTTTTCAAACAACTCGTATAGTACACAGTGTCGTATTAGTATATATAATATATAAATTTTTGTTTGTCTATGTGCATTATCGAGTAATCTATACTTATATAATAAGAATTAACATTTATCCAAAATAGTAGGTCAAATTATGGTCAATGTCGAATTTGCATTAAATATTTTCCAAAACTGGTAAGTTTTTGTCCTTTTCACACTTCTCATTAATTATGTCCTTTTCACACTTCTCATTAATTATATCATTTTCACACATCTGATTAATTCATTAATTACGACATAATTATTATAAATCATTAGCTTTTATTGTTAAAATGTATAGCGATCTATTATGACCTTATCCCATTGATATTTTCATGAAGCGTCCTTATCGTATTCTATTTTTTAGTGACCACTCTATATCAATAACCGGATATTTGGTTAATGATAGCACACGTCTTTATTTCAAGGAGCGGATATTCTTTGACTTTTAATTAATCTGAACTGATTGCCTTGACTTTTCAATTTTTAAAAACTCTTTTTTTAAATATTTCAGCTTAAGATTCGGATTTCATTATACAAGTCATCGGATTGTTTGAATGAAAATGAATGAAAAGAACACCAAAAACAGGTAGCCTTATTCATATAACCAATCCTAAAATATTAGTTTGTTCACCAAAAAGAGACAAATCCTAGAAATCCTAAAATATTAGTTTGTTCACCAATCCTAATATATTAGTTTGTTAACAAAATATATTAGTTTGATTTTTAGGATTTATCTCTTTTGAAAATATTAGTTTGTGATAATGAAGAGTTACCAAATAATCAAACTCATAATGTTGTGTACAAGAAGGTTTTTAGTAATATATGATTGTTATCGAACTTTTTTATGATTCAACAATGTTCCTATGTATTTTAATGATTTCAATTTCGATCTTAATGCACGTGAGGGTATATTATTCTTCTAAATTTTACATCTCGTGCATCGCACGGGTTATTTAAGATGAGATATTATTAAAGATGTTCTTAGGAGGAAAAATAACCTTGCGCATCTTAATGACAAAATTACCACGTCGGAAACGAATCTCATTGGTTATTCCTCGTCAGTACAGAATTTCATTGGCTCGTATTTGTCACGCACTTTGACACGCGTGCCTTGAACAAATTATATAAATACAAAGGAAAATGAATTTACGATTCTAATTTCCAGCTATTTTGAAGCTCTTTTTCTTTTGTCGCCTAATTATCTGTTCAGTAATAATTTTAGTCCAGATACTTCTATCGTTTGTGCGGGTGAAAAAAATTGTAATCGGCCTAGGGTTTCTTTTCCTTTTCAGCCTTTTTTGTTGATTGATTGATTGATTAATCGAAAAGTAAATCGAAGGAGATTAATTCAATGGCGCAAGCTGTGGAAGAGTGGTACAAGCAGATGCCGATCATAACGCGTTCGTATCTCACCGCCGCCATAGTCACCACCATCGGTTGCTCTCTCGATGTATGTATTTTGTCATTTTCTATTGTTTTTATCAATGTTTGGAGGAAACTGTGGATCTTACGTGGTCTTGTTTGCTTTTGGAAAAATGGCTACATAGCTACATGTTGCTTGAATGTCATCTGGGATTAGTTGCTTTTCACCAAAAAAATGCTTTTTTTTTTCGTTTCACATTATGCTGGATGGTGGTGAGAATAGCTAACTTGTTTGGGAATCATTTTGGAGCTATATAGAAATGGAATTCCTCTCTCTTTTTTTTTGGGTGTTAAAGAAGAAATTGGTGCTTTGCTTCCATAAATAATTTTCGGGAGGGAAATGAGCTGAATTTAGTTTTCTGTCTGTCCGGCAATGTGCAGATAATATCTCCTTATGATTTGTACTTGAATCCGAGGCTTGTGGTGAAGCAATACCAAATCTGGCGAGTCATCACCAACTTTCTGTATTTCCGCAAGATGGGTAACTCTCTTGCTTTCCTTCCAAAACTTATTTTTTAATTTGGTTTGGCTTGGATGGTTAGGTTAATAAGCTCTGGTGAGGGGTGCAACTCATTTGTTTGGGGTTTATACTCTAGTTCCGGTTGAACTAGAAGATCATTTTGTTGTTCAAGCTACGAAATTTCATTTATCAGTCTATGAATTTCCATGTTTGTTTCTACTGCTTATTTAAATTAAAATTGGGGAACACGAATTGAACACATCTAAAAGTTTTAAATATTTAGGATCCATTCTAGAAGATAATATGTAACACGAAAAATTCAATCGGGTTGGAACAAGTGGAGGAGCGCGTCGTCGATACTTTGTGATCGTAGGCAAGTTTTATCTAACGGTCATTCGACTGATGATGCTTTATGGATCTGAGTGTTGGGCTACCAAATATGAAAATGATGAGAAAAATGCCATAGATGAGAATGTTGAGATAGATGTGTGAGCATACTAGGTTAGATAAGATTAGAAATAAAGTTAGGGTAGCACCCATAGAGGAGAAAATGTGAAAAATACGATTAAGATAGTTTGGGCATCTGCTTAGGAAACTTCGAGGCGCCGGTGAGAAGGGTAGAAACATTAGCAAATTAAAAGAGGGAGGGGTTTGATCTAAAAAAACTTGGAAGGGGACAATAAAAAATGATTCCAAATATTAAAATTTGAATGAGGTTATGTGCTTTGATCGTGCACGACGGCGACATGTGATCTATATAGCCGACCTCTAGGATTTTAACGACTTGTTGATTGATTGATTGATTGATTGTTTCTACTCCTAATTTGTTCAATTGTGTAATTGATGTATATGGTAGTCACACGTGGTAAACATGATAAAAGTGTGTAAATAAAATTATGTGGCTTTCTTCTTTGCTTTTGCAGTTTTGACTTAACGGGAAACAACAAATTTAGTAAGAGTATTGGCTCTATATCTTGAGGGAACACATGTAACATGTTAAGTTGTAATGTTTTATCAGGCATGGCACATTTCTCCACATACACCGGAGTGCATGTATATACCTCATTGTATTTATCTGCTGATATGATGCATTTAATTGTCAATGCATCATGATTTTCTTTGCTGTTAGCTAAACACCAATTGGATTCCTTACTGTTTGATGTGACAATGAAACCGATATTAAAGTTACAAACATGGAAATATTTGACTGCAATGCTGAGGACAATAGCCTATTATGAAATGTTGATCTTCTAGATCAATCCTTTCGTGTGACACAGCTCTGTGTTTCTATGCAGATCTGGACTTTTTGTTTCACATGTTCTTTCTTGCTCGATACTGCAAGCTTCTTGAAGAGAACTCGTTTCGCGGGAGGACTGCAGATTTCTTCTACATGCTGTTGTTTGGTGCGACAGTTTTAACCGGTATAGTACTTCTTGGCGGGATGATTCCATATGTCTCAGAATCATTTGCAAAAATCATATTCCTCAGCAATTCTCTCACCTTTATGATGGTTAGTATTCCTGTGCTCAAGAGTACTTGTGAGTTTGATTAGTTTCACCATGAAGCCAGCACTTTTATTTCACTTACCTAGATCTTATATCTCATTTGCCATTGCATGTTATGTTTTAGGTATATGTGTGGAGCAAGCAGAACCCTTACATTCACATGAGCTTTCTGGGCCTTTTCACTTTCACAGCTGCCTATCTGCCATGGGTTAGTGGCTTAACCTCCATCAGTATTTGTGTTAAATCATATCCTCATGTTCTTTTATATTATGTTGTCATCCTACTGTTTGCGTCGATAATATTTTAGACTCCGCTTGAAATGTTGATATCTTCAGAATATGGTACTTGATATCCTATTACTGGTCAAAATAGATAAATGGAAGAATATTTATCATGATATTGAATTTATATGTTGATCTTCAATTCTTCTTCCGAAATGTCTGCTATGCATGAATGCAGAAGAGGTTTGGAAGCAAACGACTAAGGATCAATTAGCAAGCTTTAGCTCATTTTTTCACAGTTCTACTTATCCATATAATCATTTTTATCATATCTTCAGGTCCTTCTTGGGTTCTCTGTTCTTGTTGGTGCTAGTGCTTGGGTCGATCTTTTGGTATGCCCTCATCGTTCTAACTATAGCCCTCTTTTGTGGATACTCCACTCTCATCTCTCATTTCAATCTACTTGTTACTTATGAGATATATTCTCTTTGGCCCAGGGAATGATAGCTGGCCACGCTTACTACTTTCTCGAAGACGTGTACCCGCGAATGACAGGTCGTCGACCTCTCAAAACTCCATCTTTTATCAGGTCCTTGTTTGCTGACGAGCCAGTGGTTGCCGCTAGGCCTGCTAATATCAGATTTGCTGCCCCTGAAGCTCAATAGAATTTGATGATTTGGGTTATATAGGATGTCAGAACTTGAACGCGTGCAATGTTATGTCAGCTCTAGCAAGAAGCTGTGTTTAGATCTTCTGTTGATAGTGCTACTGTGTAAAGATGCACCCCTTACAAAATGTTGCTGGATATATGTTTTTTTTTATTCTCTCTTTTTTTTTCCTTGTATACTGATTCAGGCATTTTTTGTGTGGGAAATTNTATGGTGATAATGGTTCGGTTAAATTAGTCTTGATAATACTGTTTTGTATGCTGCAAATGTGGACAAGCAAAGGTACTATTGTTACTAAGTTGCTTCTGGTGATGTACCACGTTAATGAAGACTCTGGAGTAGCTTTTGATCTTAGCTAAAAAAGTTAGATGTTTTTATGTGCACAAGTAAAACGATGGTTGAGCTCAATATTATGCCAGGGTTGCTGATTATAAGAAAAATGGTACATCTTGAAGAATTGCGAATTTTGCAGCAAAATAGCAAACATTTTCATGCCACAGGATCCAATTTAATTATTGTATCCTCAACATCAATTCTGGACAAATTACAGGCAGAAAAAGTAAAATTTTAGGACAAGAGCCAACCCCAGAATAATAATAAATCTGGAAAAAAATCTTTCTCAGGCTCCGATTTCATCCACCGACTAACTTTGAAGCTGGAACAAACACTACCAAATGCGTAAGTGAGGATTTGTGGATTAGCGGATTGGGTGGTATTGGGCTGATATTCTCTTCGGAGGAAGCTTGCGTAGAATGTACAAGACAAGAACTGAAGGAAGAATCTCGACCAACTGTTGTATGCATAGAAAAGTTATATCAGGACATGATATCGTATATTCAAACTTAGAAAATGCTTTATGTAGACCTAAAGAGAGTAGTTAATACCGTGTAATAGACAAAATTCAGAACAGGATGGTCCAATACATCGAGTGATGCATCTAAATCGAAAGCTGATAGCACAACCTGCAGAAAAGAGCAAATTAGATCCAACTAGTGACAGGATCTTTATGAAATTGAGAGAGGAGTGATGGCAATTTCTGAAACTTACCACAAAGCATCTTATAAGAAAACATGTGAAGCATATAGCAGTTACAGATCCAACCTGTAAATGATAAACGAACTCTGGTCAGTTCATGAAAGTCACGATAAAAGGAACGTGTATTCCAATTTGACATGCGATAAATAGGCACGCACCTCATGAAGTTTCTTCCTTCTCCCTTTAGATTCAATAGGGAATCGCCTAAGCATGAAAAACAACCTGCAAGACACATAACAAACAAAAAAAAGTAAAATAATTTAATCAAGTTAACATTGAAAGAAATTGTTCTGAAGATATCAACTATGATTTGCATGAAAAAGCAATGAACGAGAGAATTTTCGACATTTACCTTCCTCCATAAAGCAAAAACCCTAATGCAGCTATAAATGACACCACTGTGGAGATCACAAGAGATGAGCAACATCAGATGAAAAGCTTCAACTTCACATAAATGTTTATATGGTATTGAATCAAAATATATAGATTCAGATATACCTGCGATAAATATCTTTCCAATGAATTCCACACTGCTGTTATCATCTATCCAGAGATACACCCAGATACAGCCCTGACGTCAAAACCTTTTCTCGTCAGATTTTAACCAATCACGATTTACTCCGTCCATCCAAGTTCTTGAAAAATTGTTTTTTACCATTTCAAAGAGGGTTTGTAAACCAACAGTCATTTATCTATATCCTACCAGACACATGAGACCTTTTACAGAAAAGTAAACTGATGTTAGAATGCTAATCGTTTCCATGCTAAGATCTTTCTAAGGCATATGTTGAGGATTCAAAATGGAGAAGAAATGAGAAACAGATGCCAAATCTAGCTATGAAGTATGTGTTGCGAAGAAGTTCAGCATTTCATTAATCTTGTCACAGTGTGTTCTTGTGCTGTTTGATAAAGTTAGTTTTACATTTTTAGCCAAGCTAACATGCCAATGTCAATCCATAGAGTGAATCTTACTTTTCCAAATATCTGAAGATAAGAAA